AGTCCTGATCAATTTACATGCAGACATTGGGGACAAATAAATCCTATAGACATTGAACACGATATCGGGGGAGTGTTTCTTAGCCTTCACTGGTTGACATGGCTTAATAGATGTAGTCTTTATTTAATATCCATCACATTAACATGCAAAACACAACGAGACTCCAGGATAATATGGTATCATCCTATGTTTTTATTCTGGTTCTTAATTAAGGCGCCACATATTAGTAATTAGAATATTTATTAGCCATCAAACATATTAGCGGGTAACGAACAACTAGCAAAGAACATCCTTGTCTACTTCTAATGCACAGTGGGCAATCACATGAAAATTAGGTGGAAAAACGAAAGCTACTTTTTTAATGATTTAAATAGTGTTTTATATACACTAGCCAACGACCAATTTAATGGTGAAAAATATTTGATCCAAATGCTTTAAGTGGTTGAGATGAGTAAGTCCCAATTTTTTGCAATTTTTGCTACAACTCGACGAAAACTGTTTTCTTTCGTCAAATAGGCAGTCACTTAAAAATTGTAATATGTATATTCTGAAAGCTGCGCACTTGGGCTATTGATTCATAAAAAAGTTTTTGTCCGAACGGGTTTGCGAAAAGGAAAGAACATGATTTTTATCTGTACGAGATGTCTTTCGGAAACATGCGCACAGTAAAGTGGGCACGCCATCCACATCCAAGCTCTGTTTTCAATGAAACTTTCAGCAATTGTTCCTCTGTATGTGGCACGTCTAGATGGAATGCTCAAACTTGCCCAAACATTTCTGGGCGAAGTTGTAGATTTTACAAAAACCCTGAATTTTTATCGTTTTCTCACGTTTTTTTAGTAAAAAAGCATCCTAGCTAAAAAGTAAGGACATATTCGGAATCAGCGTCGAAAACTGCATCTAATGATGTGTCATTTTACCGATTTCAACGCATGTATGCTGAATTTTTCTGAAAATAGATTTTCCAAGATTTTTCTCTAAAGTTAAAGCTGCTGTTTTTGCACGGCATCTTGAGCGTTCGAAAACCAGTTTTCTATAGGTTTTCGGCCATAACGAATCAAATGATGTTGTTGAAAAACTTTCAAAGTGGTTTTTTGAAGGTTTCCAAGAGACTGGATCTCTGGAAAACCATCACAAAACCAGATTTTAGCTGGGATACGGATGCCATAAGAAAGAGCGCACACGAAAACCTATTAAAAACAAATTTTTCGATTCAACGAATCGCTCTGAAACAAATTTCCACGTGCCTATTGAAAATTACCCGCTGTGTAATGTAAACGGATATCAACGAACTAAAAACCAAGTATACACTGAGTTGTTATAAAGCGATTATTTACAGTTACGGTTAACCGTTCGAACGGTTATTGTGGTTACGGTTATGACCGGTTACGTTGCATGCCTAAGGCGAGCCCCCTGGACAGAACTGACAGATGACCAGCAACAAGATTGATGACAGCGTGTGGAACTTATCAAGTGCAGGAAAGATATCGAGCTTTCGAAACTGACTCTGTAACATCTTATACCGGCAACAGTAGCAGCAAGGCGGACTATTCTTCCTTCTCCCAAAACATATAGGCTTAGGTTGTTATATATTTAACACGTGAAAAAATGAAGCTAATTCGGTCAATATGAAAATAAAACGACAAGTAGTGTGTGGTTAAAGTACGATACTATGGAACTATGAGTTAAGGCTTTTCAGGATTATAAATAAGCAAGAGACCTTTCGGCTTGAACATATTCATGTATATCAAAGTTTAGCCTTTATAAATTATTTTTAGATACGGTAATGCTTGTCCGTAACGATAGACAATATATTCATGATATTGAAATCCAGTTCCGTGAACACAATGAAAGCCTCTTGGTGCTGAAACTAATGTTTGGTCAACTGCAGTCATCATAGATTCGACACCTAATAAAACTTTATTATAATACATAACACGTGTTTGATCAGTTGCATCGGGTGCTGTATAGGCATGAGATTTTCGAGGATCATCAGCAAAATAAGCTCCATGACCTAAATGGAGAACAAAAAGGTTGTCGGTTATTCATGATCAGTCTGAATGTAAAGCTCTTCAAGTCTCTCATGCTATTATTAATGTTTTACGGAGCTGCAAACTCACTTCCCTTGGACATAAATTCAGAAAGCCAAAATCACACAAGACACGTGGGTGATGGTACGACAAGACTAGGATGATACAAGCAACTGACTGGACGTTTTCTGATTTTTATCTGCATCAAGAAAGTCTAGTTTGGGTAGTATGCGGCTCTTGATGAACTGCAGTTAAGGCTTTAGTATTTCCACATTCTTAACCATCACTAACGAATTTTTTTCTGATGTTCTTCCACTAAAAAGGAATCGATAAATCTGCTGTGATTCACTTACCCCAGGCTCCTTTAGGATTGAAAAATCGATCATCAAAACCATCTTCGGTTATCCCATTAATGCCATCATCCTTTGTCCCATGAAATAATTCACGTTCATTTGGATTAAACCCCTTGCATTGTTTAGCAATCAATTTTTTCATCGCTTCATATGCGTCCTCCAAAAGTGGATTTTTGATTTGCTCGATTGCAACGATTTGTATAGTTCCGATCGTTCTCATTTGTGTAACTAAGCCTTGATATAAATTTGATGACGATGGTAACGGTACTAAGACGGCATAGTATTTGGGCAGCGGCTGTGGTATAAATGAAAATGGCTGCCCCAACTGAGTCCAATGACGGATATTCGTCATTTTATTTATACGATCATTCATATGCTTGTCAATCGGCCGAAGGACTTGAAAACGTTTATTTTTTATATTGTCGACAATAGTCTCAAGTTCAATAGCATAGGGTTTTTGTTGTATATCAACACGCATTCCTAATTCGTGTGTATAATCTTTCTCTAATGACAAATTATTAACGTCAAAGTCAATACGATCGTGTGTTAAAGCTACATGTGGTTCAATTAGATCCATTGTAAACGGACCAGTTTTTGCGTCTTCATCTAGCAACAAAACATATCGCCAATCTTCTCGGAAAACTTTGCATTTCATATCGAATTTATGTAATTCATCTTGAAATTTATCAATATCAAAATAGGCATGTGACGGTAAGTGACAATCTAAATCAGCTGGTATAACTTCCCTGTTCATATATGGAATAAGGTCCTTCTTTGAGTTCGTTTGGTATTCAATCCAGCCTTTAGGATTTGTACGCAGAGTAGCTGGCGGTGCTGTATAGTTGCCAACAACCCAGTCTCGAACAAAACCACCCTCAAGTTTACAATCGAATTTACAAAGAGCTATCCAAGCTACAACTTCCATTCGGGTTTCACGTGTTGCTTTCGAACCTTTAACACCATTCCACAGGTCGACCAACGTTCGTTTACTATCGGTAACATGAGAAATTCTTTCTTCAATATCAAGACATGTTTTGCGCATTTGAGGGCGAAGGATACGAGGAGATACTCCTGAAAGATAACAACATTGAGTATAGTTCAATATTTTAACCAAAGGTCACAACTGAAGCAGATAGCTGCAGGCACACATGCACACTTTGAAAGAGATTTGCTAATTACTTTCGGTAACGAACAAGATTCTGACTTATTAAATACTCTAGAAAAAAAGCGTTTAGTAAACAACTTTGTGTATGTGAAAGAGAATATGCATGTCGAAAAACTGAAACCGTTCAAAGCATCTGAAATTTCGAAAAACCTTGTAGTTTCAAAAAAGATTTTATTTTTTTTATTTTTCATTCTTCAAATATTTTGAAAGTATTTTTTTCAGATTCAGCATGAAAAACTGACTATGTCTGATCGAGATTGAAGTCAGCCACGTCTTGGACTCTCACTGTGAAAAGTTTCTAAACAATTATGTGAACCTATGTAGTTTTTCTCAGAAAGAATGAAGCTAAGTGTTTTATACCATTCGAACCGCTGTTAAACGAGCAACAAAAACATGCATCACTTTTTTCTCTGTTTTGGTTTCTTATTAAGAAAGTCCATTTTTCCTAAATCCGTAGCCAAGAAATTGCGATTCTATCCGTAATTCTCTACTTTCTCCACCATAACTCTTTTTTTCTGCACGGAAAATACCATAGTCGGTGTCAGCGTCTGCAACTGAATATAACGATCTACTCTTTTGTATTATCGGACCATTTTAGTTTTTTTCGAATTATCACGGCAAATTACTGAGATTTTCATGAAATGCATATTTTTGTTGTTCGTTTGACTTCAACCTCAATCAACTATCATTCTCATGCTCAGTTTTTGGTGTTGAATCTGACAAAAAATACCTGCGAAAAAGTTAGGACAAAGAAAAGGATGAAAATCGAAGGTTTTTTATATTGAAGCAGTTTTTCCAATTTTGGGCTGTTCAAGTTTTTTCATATGCTTTTCACACACAAAAATTTCTAAATAATCAAAAACCACCTTTTCTTAATCAGCTCGGTTGAGCTTCACCCAAACATGTGTAAAAAGCGAAATTCTGCGGTAACTTTGGATTTCCGGCATTTTACTTCGCAGCAGGATAACACACAAACAGGAAAAGGAAATCGAAGCCAACCGTTTCAGCGTAAACACACGTATTCGCTAGGAAGGAGGCTAACTGAATGTGTTTTTGATCTACTTTTTACTTCACACTTACCAGCATTTGGATGTCGAATAACGGCACAATTCTGTAACCACGTCAGAAAAGAATCAAATTCATTTTTGACCTTTTGATTTTCTGAGTCTCGACCTTCGACCGTTATTTCACATATTTTCGTAGCTGTATTACTGTTGATTGTTATTTTAACTTGCTTTTGTGCCTCCCATCTCCATTTCATCGGGTTAAATATCCGAGTCATTTTCATAACACTTTCTAAATTTCGGGATAAATTGGTGTGTAAAGTTGTATTTGGTGGATTTGCATTTTTTAACTCGAATTTCAATTCAGTTACCATTTGCTGTCGAAGATGCAGTTCTGCATTAAGAACTACACCCGACGGTCCTTTCAATGATAGAGTTTGATTACTAAGTTGCATGTTTATTTTATGGGAAAACGTGGATAGAGCATTTGAAAATATATTGTTACTGTTCAGTTTGGTTTCTTCTTCATTGTTTAATGTTACTTTACGTTCCAAATTATATTCTATCCAAACTGGTTTAATCTCCCCAACGAATGAAAGAACAGCTGTAGAACGAATAGCCGTCGAGTAACGGATGTCTCGTGCTAAGACGAGAGATACAGGCGCCAGACTTATAGGTCGTGTTAGGGTTGACTGTAGATCGAGTACGGCAATATCGGTTGTGTCCTTATAGCGACTAAAACGATGTATTCTGCCTTGCAATTCTTTCATTGATACGAAAACGTTATCGGAATACCCCGCTAGCAAAGCTTTAGCAATAAATTCCCAATTATCAGATTTGACTTGTGCTCTTTCACGGAAGTCATTTGAGAGATTAAACGATTTTTCGAGGCTCGTATAACGTCTCAAGGCTTGGCCTAGGATATGTTTAATACCTAAGAGACCTTTAGCCTGGCAGACTCGTTCCAAATTAAACTGTTGAGCTTGAACGGATTGTTTAACTAAGAGAATTGCATTCATCACATTTAACAGTGTCATAAAATCTCCCTCAGGACTTTTAAGATTTTGTGGTAATGCTTTCAGTAAAGCTGTAGTATTCAAAACACTTAAGATTGACGAAAGACATATCAAATCACGCCCACTAGAGTAATCTCGAAGAGCAGCTAATACAGATTTAGACATGGCTAAAGAGCCAAAATCAGGTAGCTTTGCTAGGGATTTGCCATGGTTTGTGAACTGATCGCTGTGACCCTCCAAAATATCTAAAATATCAACAAAATGCAGTGACGACTAAATTTTCGGTAGAAAAAAGCCAGCCGTGATGATCTTCTTAGATCGTGTTGAGAAAGAACTAATAATTTAAGGCCGCTGGATTTGGTTTCTGTTGTCTTATTTCCGTAGCCGATCTTTACTTTTATTCTTTGAAATGTCGAGATAGTTATAATCCTTTGAATTTAACCTCAAATTATGATTCTTTTCAAAAGATCACGTGACTATGGACGCTGCTTCGAAATGAGTACAATTATACTAGTGTGATAACACAAAATATAGCGACGATTGTATTCGAATCTACATTTAGTGTAGTAGAAGTGTATCCTACCTCGAAGAACTGTATCAGCTTTCCTAACATCTTGATGTTCTAAATTGAACCAGAGCTGCAGCAGACTAAAGCTTCCTTAAGGCCCCCATCCCTTTCCCCGCTCCAAAATCGAAAAACATTTTCGGTACAGTATTGGGATTTCCACGAAACTTTACACATATGTTAGTCACATAAAAGTAAAGTTAAGAAATTTTTTTTACGCCGTCAAACTTCAGCGGTCAGAAGTTTTCTAGAGATCAAGGTCCAGAATAGACTCTCTGCCTGTGCAAATTCTGTTTCACTATACTTCAAGGTACAGAACCGACTGCAGTTTGTTCTGCAAAAGTAAATTTATTTGATTCTTTTCTTTTATCTACACAAAGATTAGTTGTGTATATTTTCTAGCTGCTGTTACAATACTTCTAACATACTCAGAGGTTAATTAGCCCGTTTATCATAATTGTCCAGAAGTCCCTTAGAATTTTGTAAAAATTTTCTCCAATATCTCCCATGAATCGGACGTAGAATAGCCTAAATGTTCTACACTGTGAACTTCTGAACTCGTTCTGGTGTTTTTTAAGTGAATAGTAAATTCTTTAATATTAGATCAAGACAGCGTTGAAATTGTAATTTTCGTAAAAGTCACTTTTCGCTAGATTTTCAAAATTTTTTCTAAAATCAAATACTGCCACAAGACTCAGCATGCTCGATTACTCATAGTCCGTGTGTCTTAATGACTATCAATGGTTGCCAAAGGCCAATCCTGAGATTCGTAGGAAATCCGAGACAAGGTCTGAACCGCGGAAAATCAAGGTCTCACTTGGCTCCCATTCTGAAGACGACACCTCAGGCTTACGTTAGTCCATGAAATAAAAACAGTACAAACCTATCGGGAAATTTTTACACGCGACCTGGTTTCCCAAAGATCTTCTTGAAACCCCGTTTCATAAAACTGTTCTTGAAAAGATTTTAGTTATGAAAGCTGCTTCCAAGTCTTCTCTTTCGAATGGTGAAAACCGGAACTCTCTAGCTTGTTTCTACCAAAAGTTTTTCAAAAAGCAACCGGTGGCCGTGCTTTTTTTAGAGATACTATAGAGGAGTTCTAGAAAACCCTTGAAAACCCGTTGAAAAACCATCATTATAGGGTCAAATCGTATCTATTCTGAAAGTATGCATGAATGCATCTGCTCATATAATTATCTAAAAATCGATGTTTTAACCAAAAATCATAATTTCGGGAGGGGGCGACCCTAACGTGCTTGTTCGAGTTAAGAAACGCTGTCGCAGAGATCCAAAGGTTTAGGAATTTGACAAAAGTTAAAAATAATGCCGTGCTCCTTCCAAGAATAACCGCTGATTTACTCCCGTTATCTCGAGTATTTTCTTACGGAATAACGAGATAATACGTACTTAATTTTCTTAATTCGTTAACCGTCATGTTAATCGCTTGCGGAGACGGTTTATCGGGCAAAAATGCTGCCAGATAATTCAAACCATTTTTCAACGGCGATTTTCTCAATGAAAATTCAATATTCATTAAATCCGATTGACATATTTGAGGTGTTGGAAAGCGTTTATCTTCAACTTTGAAGTCATACAAAGAGTAATATTCTCCTGGTTTTGTTCTTCCCAAACGTCCCAGACGTTGCTTGATTGTTGATTCAGCTGCACGAACTTCTTTCAACACTGTCTGTTTCGACTGTAGATCATATACTGGGATATTAATCATCCCCGTATCAACAACATATTTCAACGATGGGAATGTTAACGAGGTTTCAGCAACAGTCGTTGAAAAGAAGATACTTCCATGTTCAATGTTCTGCTGTTGAACAGCAGATGATTGCGATTGTATAAGCGGGTAAGCAATAATCGTACCTCGACTAATTTCAGCCAATAAACGACAACACTGATTAACATCAGATACAGAATTGACAAAACAAAGGATTTGATCATGTCTTTGACGTTTTTTACACAGTTCTAGTACAATATCCACAATGTTTTCATTTGGGCGCGGCAATTTTATTACGGTGTGAAGCGTTCCCATAGCTGGCATCGTAAATTCGTCGAATCTTAGTTGTTGTATATTACGATAAAGCGTTGGTACTGATGCATCGAGGGTAGCCGAGGAGATTATAACTTTTAATTTTGATTTCAGTTCTGGCTTTAAAGATAAAAGTCTAGCTAGTAGAGCTAAACATAGATCAATGTTAACCGAACGTTCGTGTACTTCATCAATAAAAAACACTATAGATTTATTAAGTCTAGTCTGGGTTGTTATGAAATTCTCATCGTAAAGTAAACGTTCTTTGAGCAAACCATCAGTTAAATACAGTATTTTAGCTTTCGGATTTCCTTGCGCCCCACTTACAGCCCAACCAGCTAGTTTCTCTGACAAGGAACCAGTTTCTGTTCTCATTGTTTCATTAACACGTTTGGAAATCAATGTGCACGGCAAACGTCGAGGTTGCGTAACAATGACTTTATCATAGCCTTCAGCAATAAGTAAAGCTGGTAATAAGGTTGATTTACCTAAAACGAAGTAACTTATGTTACACAGATAATAGTAGCGCAGTACCATTTTAATTTTTGTTTCGCAAAGAACGTGCGACGCTTTTGTAGTATGTTCACGGTACTTGCGCAGCTATGTATTTCACCAATACTCTAGGCCAAGAATCACTGCCTACACAACTGTTTTGGGATAAAAGAACCTTTACCTGATCCAGTCGATGTTGCTATTGTAATAACCGTATTTTTTTCTATTTTCTCTAATAATTCCTTAGCTGATTCGTACAATGGTAATTGTATTAGGAAACAACAATAATAAATCATAATTCGTTGCAACAGCTCCGGTATCAGACTGAAATGTTTCAATTCATGACCGGTATATTCTGCGTTAGTTTTAAATACTGCTTTAACTTTCTCAATGAAGTCTTTTACAACTGAAATGGATTTCTCCGTTGGTTTCTTGTCGAGTTTGAGTCGCTGGAATGAAATATTCTGTTTTATGAATTCTTCAAGAGCTTGGTGTTTTAGAGTTTCGATTTCGTTTACGAAAGGATATTGTTTCATGAAATTATTGGTTTGTGTTTTCAGTTCGATCCATGGCTTCGTGGAAGAGTCAGAAATCGACTGTTCCGTTAATATTTTTGATTTCTGATTAATATAATCATTAAAGAGTTTTGAATGTTCAGTGTTCTTTTCTTGCAAAAGTTGAACCAAGCATTTCGCGTAGTTTCTCCAGTTTCGTGTTCGGGAGTTGACTTGGAAAAGAGCATTGGTTATTGCTCGTGTTAAGCGATTAAGATGTCGCTGATAGAAATCTTTAGCTGATTGGGTTACGTTTGATAGTGTTGATATACGATTCAAAACGGCCTTGAATGAATCGTGATGAACTTGAAACCCGCTAATGGTTACTGTATAAGTATTATTTTGTTCTCTAAAGGTCATCTTCGGTATTTTATCATAAAAAAACTCATCAAGTTTCTTGGTTTTTCTGAGCCAGTCGAGAACCAAGTTGAATTTAGGAGTTATAAAGTCGTGTATTATTTGAGTTGGGATATTATTATATTCAATCGTTTTTATAGTCTTAGCTATTTGTTGTATTTTAGCTTCTTTTTCTTCCATTTTTTTTTGTTCAGTGTGCATTCGGTCAATCTCTTCCATAGCCTCAGCCAGTCGTCGTTCCTGCTCGGCTGTTCTTTGTACATTTAAGTTCAACTGTTCTTGAACACTAGCTGTCTCAGCAGCTAATTTTGCTTTCAGTTCTTTGTTTTCCTCTTCTAACTGTGCGGTCAATGCTGCTGTTGCTTGAAGATTCAAAGACGAATCCGATCTTTCGAGAAGAGAAGACTGCTGAGCAGGACGAGCCATGGCTACTGTTTCATTAAAATAATCATTAATTTTTAAATCTGAAAGGCTATCATCTGATTTGCCATCTGTTGTTATTTTTGATGTTGTGGTTAGCACGGTTTGTTGCTGAAGAGTACTGACAGTGTTAAAGGGGACAGTATCATCATTATTTGTACTATCGCTTATGGACCATATTCCGCTATCAGATGACTGTGTTGTCTAAGAAAGAAGTAAGCAAAGGTCGTATATAGAGGAATGCGTATTATGCTCGAAAAGCCGCTTATCTTCATAACTGTACCAGCTGAAACAAGAGTAGACAAACTTTTTCGGTTTTCGAAATCTGTACACCCTATGAATAGAGATGCACCCAGACGCGAAAATATAAGACTACGCGGAGCAAAGGAGCTTGTTTAGACCAAAAAAATCTATATCTTTACTTTATTTCGATTTTCTAATGTATCAGTATCGTCGTCCTCGTTTGACATGCTTTGTAGTGTAGAATCGTCCTCATTTATATCTTCTGTTAACTGTTCTTCTGTGGTTGAAGTATTACTTGCTTGCAGTACTTCGTTTAAATGTCTTCTGGTGAGGGGTATTGGGTTCAAGTTCGTTAATGTTTGAAAATTATCGATATTAGTTATTTTATTCTTATTTTGTTCATTATTCGATATGAGTTTTGGTATCCACCGAATAAAACCCAAAACACTTTTCTGATCATTTGTAAATGTAAATTCGTGTAGATTAAATTTCACTTCATCGTCAGTGATGAAGTCTAAGTCCAAGGGGATTATTTTTTGGCGATAATTCATCGCATGATCAAGTCGAGAATTTGTTTTTGCATCACAGTTATACCATGAGTTTAGCTGTATTTTGAATTCGCTATCATAAATTGTAGGTATATCAAAGTTTTTCAAAGACGGAGACGCGCTCTGATCGGCTTGCGGATGTTTCATGAACATCATTTGCCACAACGAGTAAATATCGAAGTTTAAGATAGAGGAACCTCGACATCTTACCCAAGCCAAATTCTGTTGATCAAGATCTTTACCCGAACGTATAAACTGAATTGTCGAGACACTATAAACACCCTGCCGAACCCGGAGATGTACTTCGGATTTGAACTGTTGATCCGGTGCGACAATTAATGACTGATGTATCTCGCTCGACTCGCTAGCAGGAAACTTGAACCATTTCTGATCTAAAAATGGTTTATATTCCCATACACAATCGACTTCTTGTTGTCCGCTTCTTGCTAAAATGGGTTCTTCTAAAATGGGTTCATCAGGGAAGTTGTTTAAAGACCGTGAATAGCCTGGAATAAGAAAATCTTGAAAAAATTGTTTGATCTCGGGTCGCGATTCGCCATTCATTATTGGTGTTTCTTGTGCATGATTTTTAATAAAATAATCAGCACCGTGTTTTATTAAGTATTTTACAATTTCTAGATGCCCGTTGAAGCAAGCTCCATGCAAAGCCGTTGAAGCAGCTGTTGGACTAACTGTGAAATCTTTTGCTGTTATTATTGATGCTGACAGTGCTTTTTCAAGATGTTGTTGATTTTGAGTATTTACCGAACAGTGAGCACTTGTAACAAGATATTCTACAAGACTCATGTGGTTGTTTTTTGCTGTTGAATAGAGCAAGGTGGTACCCCAGAGACCAGGTTTATCTTTAAAAGTCGGATAGGCTTTAATGAAATCTCTGACAGAAGACAGTTTTCCTTCCCATGCAGCTAGAAAAGCATCGACTGATGCCAAAACACCTTGTAATTCTCGAAGAAATGGGTGAAGATCATTTAGCGTCAGAGAGTCATTAAATTTTCGTTCGTCTTGATCATAATGGTACTGATGTAGAAAATGTAGCAGATACTTCTGACAGGTTTGAGTCAGATACGGTATATATTGATTTAGTATACTTTCGATTCTTGTTGTTAACGTATCTATTAGTTCATCTTCCTCAACATTCACTGTAAATGTATTTATATTGTAGTTCAAGGTCGAATTTGTGAGTAATGTATCAGGATTAGATGTTTGCTGTTGTGGTTGAAGTTTAGTAATACTTTCTTGAACAGCTTCGATAATAGCTGTCACACACCGTTTCAACTGTTTTTCATCCCCGGTGCCTGCCATACTTTGTTTTTTTGTTGTGGAGAAAGACGACTTCTTTTTTATGGTGACAATAAAAAAATCTTACCGTCGTATCTTGTTACTGTAATGTTGTAAAGTGCAGAATAAGCATAAAATAAAGTTGTGTCTTTTGCCGTCACTCAATGTATCGTACGAGGCATGATTCCTTTGGAAAAAACATTAAAAAAAGGGAAGAAAAAGAAAAAGAACAGAATATGCAAAGAGACTTTTTTTGTTATCGTTAGTCGTCATAAAGCCGACTGAGTGAAACTCAAGGAGACTGATTTCGTTTCACCCTGGTGTTGCGTAGCAAAACTTTCTTTCTTTCTTTTCTTTATCATTGTTTACCTTGAAAACACGAAGCTGAACCACTATTACAATTTTGAATATTACAAAGTAGAATGAGTAAGTGGAAAGTTTCTAAAGAAAATGTGGCAGAAAAGTAACCAATGGGGGTGATTTACCAACGTCAAAAGTGGAACCTTTTTTTAAGATGCTCTTTCGCATAGTATAAACGGCTTACGGCTTTTCTTTGTTTTTTTTTCCGTCAGAGATATCATAAAGCAATACAGCCCGTAATAGCATTCACTAATCAAAATACTATCGTAATACATAATACACAATGTATAATAGGGAGACTAAAGTTGTCCTATGGGTAGTATAGGAATTATGGAAGTTTTATTTTTCGACGAAGATATTTTCACCCATAATTCCCTTACGAGGAAACATTCCCAGGTGCCCAGCTCCGATTTCGCTCGTTCATACATCATTCGATAGGGGGTCTCGAGTAGATAAAAAGCGTAAAAGGATATCGGCTTGCGACTCTTTAAGACCCGGTTTTCTGGAAAACCAGTTTTTCAGAAACTCTAACAGAATAACTAAAACCTTTGTTAATGAGACATGATTGTAGCCCGCGAAATTCTCATAAAAATGAGACATCTTCCAGCTCTATATGACCTTTCTTTGCAAAGCTATAGAATTTGCAAGAAAAGCTCTCAACGTTCACTGTCAACTCAAAGCTGCAGAAATCAGAAGAAATTAATTTAGGGCTTTTCTTGTAAATTCTATAACTTTGCAAAGAAAGGTCATATAGAGCTGGGAGACGTCTCATTTTTATGAGAATTTCGCGGGCTACAATCGTGTCTCATTAACAAAGGTTTTGGTTATCCTGTTAGAGTTTCTGAAAAACCGGTTTTCCAGAAAATCGGATCTTAAAGAGTCGTCAGCCGATATCCTTTTAGGCTTTTTATTTACTCGAGACCCCCTATCGAATGATGTATGAACGAGCGAAGTCGGAGCGGGGCACCTGGGAATGTTCCCTCGTTAGTTCGCATAATTCGGTACTCTCAATCGTATACCATACTATAGTACCATACTCTTAATAAGATGTAGTAGACAGAATTTCGCAAAATCCGCGAGTGTACCAGAAGATTGTCCAAAATTTTATAAGTGCAAAAAAGTAAATCTAAAATCCAGCTCAAATTTCTCAAAGCTCTTTCAAGTTCTAAAAAGACATGAAAAAGATGATGCAGATTGCAATCGCATTATGACATCACTCTTTTCCGAAGGATTTCATCTAAAAAAAACTGAAAAACTGGTGTATAATTTTCAATAATGGAAAATAATGACAGCCTTAGCTTCAATTTATAAACCCAAACTCTCTAGCGCTTAATTTGTCGAAGAAACTTCCGATAGTGGTTATCACTTAGGAAAAGTCACTTTTGATATATAGTGAATGTCACACGTTTTACGGGTATTAATGAAACTGTCATTACTTTTGATTAGGGCATCACCTGATGCTGAGAGACGTCTCATCTTAACCACACATATTTAATTTACGAACTGGAGCCACCTAGAATCCTTTTTGGTTCTGACATTTTATTAAAATGCTAGAATTTCAGAAAAATAAGATTTCTAGGACATTTAGAAGATTTGTTCAAGATCCACCAGAAACCTTTAATATTGGCACAAATAGTATCGATTCTAAAAACAGCCACTCTGGGCACTTCAATCATGTGCTTAGTTCAATAGGGACCTTTTATCCCAAGATCTATATTTCTGACCCAGAGGAAGGCCTTAAAAAATTAATTTTTAAGAATATAAAGCACGAAATAAAATACATGACAAGGGTTCTTGCTAAAAGTATATATAAAGCTGACATGAACTTATCGTTCATCCTCCAATTACAGAAGACTTCAGTGCTTGTAACGTGCCTGGCATTAATTTATTAATGCGACAATGCATACAATACAAATAACCAGCAGAAAGTGAAACATAAACTTATGCCCATTACACAAATGTATTTATTTGTAGTATTGTGTTCCGTAATTATATGTTCTAAAATATATCCGGTCACTATTTCACAGTTACTGCAGAATATTTCATTTTATACTAGTTTTGCTATAAAGGAAAGAACAATCTACCCTTGTTAAGTTTGCTAACACAGAAGATACTTGCAGTGCCGGCGTCGTCAGCCGCTGTAGAACGTACGTTGTCTGCTGCTGGCGTTATAATCACACAACGTCGAGCTACTCTAAACACTCGAACAGTCAACGATATAACAGT